CCTAAATTCCTAATCATCTTAACTGCTGAGTCGAATGATGCATACTTACCAGAGGCAAGCCCAGGATCTATAGCATCATTCACAGAGTCACCCTTAGGATATGATAAATTATATATCAACCTGAATTCCCCAGGAGCTTTTTTAGGCACCACACCCAAAGGGGATAGACGGAGGGTGGGAATAGGCAGCTGATCATGCAGCCCCAAAATCCTTCCCACAGCTATTTCTTTTGCCAATTTCTCCTGCACAATGTTCGGCAGTTCCCTTATGGAACAAGCATTGGGTGCAAAATGATGAACCCTAGAACCTGTATAAGGGATACGAAAACCTAAGGAAAAACCATGAAATAAATAAGAAACAGCCTCTTTATTAGGGTAAATCTTTAGCCATGCCACCATATTGTCTAACTTAATTGGTGATGGGGCCTTTTCCTCCAGGCAAAGCTGGCTGGGGGGCAGTAGCCCCTCCTAGCTGCTTGCCTCTATTGCAGGAAGCTCCGAGTGACCACCCCCACAGGTGTTGCACTTATGCTCAAACCTGCAGGGTTGCCTCTTGCATTTGCCTACATTAAAATCCCAGCATATGCCAAATTGCCTTCTCTTTCCCATGGCAGGCCTCACATTTGGCCCTCTCGGCATGGTAACCATTGGGACATACCCATTGTCACACCTGCTCGAAGGGGAGGCCCCCACCATAACATCAGCCCACAAATCAGACTGAACATGTCTCCAGGACAAAGAGCAATCCTGTGAAGCTCTCATTCTAAATTGCTTATCGTATTGTAGCCAGGCTGCACCTATAGAGTTATGATGGCAATTAGTGTATGCTTTTATCATGATCTCCTGATATTTAGAAAAGTCAGGAGATCTCAGTGGTTCTTTTTCCTCTATAACACCTCTGTAAATAGTGAAACCCATAATCCAATTCACAAAATTGCGGTCCACCTTAGGGTATTTGAGGGCTTGAAACTCTTTCAGAAGACTGAAAACAATCCCATCTTTTACCATGATCCTCGGCTCTGGGTCCCTAAAGGTAAGAGTAAACAAGTCAATGTATTCTCCCTTCCAAATCCTTTCTTTA